CCCCGACTTTCGGGGACCCCCGCCCTACCAGACAAGCTGAACCCCGACTGATGGAGGTTGCGCACGGGAGGAGCCTGGGCTTTGCCCGCACAGGGCGCGATCCTGGAGGCCGGAGTGTTGGCCACGGCTCTGGCGCTGGCGAGGACGTCGTGGACCGGTCCGTCGTACAGCCCTCTGGGGACGCCGTGCACTTCGGCCAGCTGCGGGGTGAAGGCACGTAGTTAAGCGAAGGCAAACAAGAACCAGGCCCAACAGACGGGTAACGACTTGTTGTCCTTCTGTCTGTGCTTAACCCCTTCGGAGGGTTTGGGGGAGACTCCACCCCCAAACAGACCAGACCAGACCAAGCGGAGGATGCTGCCCGGACCCCGCGGGCCGAGGTCCTGTCCCCCCCCCCGGGAAAAGGGGCTCCGAGAGGTGGTTGGGGGGTGCCGCCGTGCGAGGGGCCGTGCTCCCCTGAGGGCAACGTCCCACAGGTGCGTGCCCTGACCAGCGTCACCCAGTGTGAGCATCACGTCCTCCTGCAGGGAGGATGAGCTCAGCCCTGGGCGCTCACGGCTGCTGGGGAGCCAAAGTCCTAACGACTTCATTACCAGTGTTTCATCACGGATTTGCTTAAGGCTGTTTCTCCTCCCAGGCGAAGCAGTGACAGCCCTTTGACAACCACAGGGGCAGAAGGGACTTGTTTTGAAGATGAAGAGTGCTGAGTTTCAAAAAAAAGGCACAGACTGATAGGTTATCAAGACATCTATAGCAGTTTCTGGAGAAATTTTTCTCTTACATGACTTTTGTCTCCATCGTGCTGCGTATCTTGTGAAGAAAATACCCTGCTCAATGTTTTCCAGTGCTCTTTTTGACCGTAGCTTTTGTCAAAAGCTCCGGTTAAATCATGGATGGAGAGCTGGCGTGGGCAGGCTGCCGGGTTGTTTGCAAAGCGCCGAACGCACCTGCCCAAACGCACTAACTGGACAAAGCAACCCCTCACCGCCCGGGCTGACGCCTGGTTATCATCCCGCCAGAGCGGGGACTTCAGCTCGCTGTGCGTCAAGGTTTGTGTGCAGCAAACTCCAGCCTTTATGATAAAAAACATACGGCACTGGGTGTCTGCTCCCACAAGGGACAGAGGTGCAGCCTCACCGCTAACAAGGAGCCCGGGGACCCTCTACCCCAGCCGACGGCACCGGCCAGCCCTCCCCGCCGCCTCTCGGTGCGTGAAGGGGATGCGGGACGTGCCAGGGAAACGGAGGACACCACCAGCACTGCCAGTGCCAGCGCCGGGCGGGAGGTTAACCGACGGCTGCTGCCAGACGGAGTGGAGATGGCGGCCCACCGCCGGGCAGTGCCGCGGGGGAGACCCGGCCTCCGGCAGGGAGCTGGCAGGGTCCCATCCATCCCCATCCTGCAGGGAGCTGGCAGGGTCCCATCCATCCCCATCCTGCAGGGAGCTGGCAGGGTCCCATCCATCCCCATCCCACCCTGACTCCAGAGGCACTCCCCGCCCCCTGCAGCTGCCAGCACCACTGGTGCCGCTGCAGGTAATTTGGGGTTAATGAGTTCTGCTCTACCTTCATCAACAACGCTTAATGAAAATGTCGAAAATAACACATGGAAGAGGGGAGGAGAGCAGAGCTGTTAAGGAGCTCTTTATATATTTGCATGTCTTCATATCTCCTTAAAAAGCTGTGCTAGCACACTGAAGGATTTATCTTACTGTATTTCCAGGAACGCTACATGCATTACCCTTCGACAGATGCAGCACAGACACTGGTAATACAGTAACATAAACTTTTCTAATACAGGTAGGAGAGGAATTCCTCCCTTCTACCTCAATACAAACCAAACAAAACCAGATTTGCTAGAAGTCATATTTTTGCTTTGCAACTTCGTAATAGGCAAATAACACTAGCATTACTAGCTATAACACTAAAATAGGCAATATTGATTAATGTGCCAAGCCACACACCAAAGCAGTTGCATGACAACATTACAAATTTTCAAGGCCTAGAAAGAAATAACATTCATAATATTCTTGTTTCTGTTGCCTATTCCATCAGCAGGCTTGCTGTAACAGCGACTGCAACACAATAATGCAGAGAGAGTGCAATGAATATATGGGATTATGGCAAATAAAATTCTCCTTACCCTGTTTCTTGCCTTTATCCTTTTATAAACAAAATCAGGGAATGTCTTTCTAGGAATGAAGCGACCTGACCCCTGGGTGACACACAGGTTTCCATCTTCAAGAACAACTTTTCCCTGACTTATGACCACAGTAGGAACCCCGTGGCACTCTGTGCCTTCAAATATGTTGTACTCCACATTCTGGAAAGAACAAACCACGATATTCAATAAGGTTAAGATTTAAGAAGAGAAGGTGACAGTCTCGCCAACTATATTCCGCCCCTCCCCCCATTTTTGTATGTTGCTCCTCATGCACAATCAGTTGTACTTAACTAACCCTTCATATTTCAAATAATAAGGTTCTTCTAAAGAAACTAGACCCTCAAAATGCTCAGTACTTGCCCAAAAGACATGCAGCACTCCTGGAGCAAACTAGACTTTTACTATACGTGAACAATTAATTCCCTCTAAGCCCCAGAAGAGCCCTGCTTAAGTTCTCCATTCAGGGACAGAAGTTCTTGTCATTTCTTCCAAGTCACTGCAAGTCTTCTGTGAAAATAAGTACGGAAAGTCATGTCTGTTCTGTGGGAAATGCCACTTTCTTCAAATGCTCCCATTACTATCACTAACAAACTACCCAAAAACCAAAGTGTACAGTGAAAAAATGTGACATTATAAAAAAACCAAAAGTGAATTTTCTGGACCAAAAGGAAACCAGTTTCTATTTTTTAAAGAAAACACCTGAATATTTCAATCAGTGATAATTTTCTTCACGAAAAAAACATTTTGGTGAAAAAACCCAAATGGGTCAAAATATTTCTACATTAACTTCAATCAGCTCTATCACCAACATTCCTCACAACACCTCACCCCCCTCTCTCTTTCAACTGCAGCTTTCTGTCAGAGGCTTATGTTGGAAATCAGTTTGGGGATGTCCACGGCCTGAAAAACCACGGCTAAAATGCCATTAAGATGCACCCGGACCTCTCCCGACTGAGTGACCCCTACGGACAGGCAGCGCCCATGGAGCCAGTGCAGGAGCTCTTCAGGAAGGATCCTGATATATTAAACTATATTAATAGTTTAATACTTAAAACAAATTCAGCACTTACATTTTTCTAGTCCACAGTGAATAAATTGATCGTAAAATTTCTGTAGCAGATGCAGACTGTCTCAGAGTAGTCACTGCTCCTACCCTTCACAGTAACCAAGGATATATTTTCATTTGCTTGTATTTTTAAAAGCAAATGCAAGGTTCTTCATCACTTTATCCACATATACAGCTCCCCCCTTGCTGAATGATCTGATCTTTCTGATCTGAGGAGAGAGATTGCTTTACTGCTCTCTTCTGACTCTCAACTCAGCTCCAGAAAGTAATGTAAAAATACTTTACCAGGTTGTGCGTTTTTGCCGAGATGATTTTAGTAGCCTTGGGATTCCACAAAACCAAGTCTGCGTCAGCGCCCACAGCGATGCGCCCCTTCTTAGGGTAGCAGTTAAAGATCTTGGCAGCATTGGTGCTGGTCACCGCTACAAAATCGTTCTCGTCCATCTTCCCGGAGACCTGGGAAAGAGAAGGGGAAAAGGACCCTCACCGGAGACGTGCCCTGCTCCCAGCAGCGGGCAGCAGCCCCGTCCCACGGCCGGACCCACGCTCTCCCACCAGCAGGAACGAGGATCCACGAGAAGAAATCGCAGGACCCAACCGCGCGACTATGCGATGTGAGGATCCACCCTGCGACAGGGCTGCAATGACGGGGGAGAAGGGAGACGGGGGGGCTGAGCCTTGTCCCTGTGGGCTAAATAATACAATAGATGGGTTTTATTTTCCCTGGATTCTGAAATTTAAGGTCTCTGAAAAACAAGACCTTCAGTGGTAGGCTCCAACTCCTATACAGGCGTCTCACGTTCACTAAAGATGGTTAAGGATATTTCAGTGAAGAAAGACCGGACGTGAACCTATTATCTTGACAAATTCTATTTATCTTTGAACAAAGCCCACCTAAGGCAGAGGCCTCAGGGTGGCTTGGTTCCCAAGCTCCTGGAAGTCCGCACAGAGATGTTTGCTCCGTGGGATGCAGGCTCGAGCCTCCCAGGGATGCTCCGCGGGAGGGCAGGGTGCACCGGCGTGCAGGGACACGGGACTCGATCCCGCCAGCCAGATGCCGCAGCTCGCCCCCAGCAGCCGCGGCGGGGCTGCGGGAGCCCGTCCCCACCGGTGGGGACCGGGGCGACCAGGCAGCTGGCAGGCACGGCCACGGCCACCAAGGGAGACACGCCCCATCCCCATCCACCTCCCCAGGCCTCCTGCAAGCAGCAGGGAAGACGGCGTTAAGGGTAAGCTTGCGCCGTACCCTTAGGTAAGCGTGGGAGAGACTTTCTCTTGTGACTGCGAGTGAGAGCGGCGTGGTGCCGAAGCCTTTGAAGACACTTCCAAGGCATTCAGGTTAATGCTAATTCCTCATTAGCAAGCTCCTCTGAAGTAGCAGTCTAGACAATGTCACTCCTCCCGGCTCGTTTGAATTAACGAGGACGCTGACATCACCTGCTCACACACACTCACATCCACAGCTTCGCAAGGACTCAGCGTTATTTTAGTACCTACCACACACTTTTCCCAAATTATGGACATCCGCTCTTCGATGCCGTTGGTTCCCTCGGGGATGAGGGTGAAGTTGTCCTTCCCCACTGCCTTCTGCGCGGTGGTGAAGGTGCAGTGAGCGCTGCCTGCAACCTGCAGGTCCCCGCTAGGCAAAAAGCACAGCACAGGGGGTCAGAGGAGGCACCCGACAGCACAACCAGCCTTCTCGGCACTACCACCACCTCCCCTGCCCTGCGGCACCCCTCCTCTCCTCTCGGCAGGCGAAAGCCCCCCCTTGCCTGGGAGGCTGCGTGTGGCACTAATGGCTTGTGGGCTTCGGGCTCAGTCTGTTTGGTACGGACTGGTTTCACCAACAAAGACTGCAAAGGCAGGTGACTTACGGTCTGTAAATGCCCATGGAAGTCAAGTTAAAAGGCAGTTTTTACAGGTACACAGAGGCATCTCGCTCTTCTAATTTATACAGGAATTAAGCACTGGAATCATCTAAGAGATGTAACCAGCAGCCTCATAAACGCTGTTTATATTCTCTCCTAAAGTGGCCATTTTTTTTACTATTTAAGCCAACGTTTTAATCTTTGTACCTTCCTTTTGAACCTCAGATTATTTTAGGAAATGGCTCTCCAAGCAAGGCTGCTTTTAAAGCAGGGTTCTTTTAAAGCAAGGATATGGTTAAATAAAACAAGACCCTGGATAAACCCAAATGTTATGTAGTCTCATATACTACAGGTGAAGGAACTGGATCCATGCTGGCAGGCAGGGCACAGCAGGGCAAGAAAAGAATTGAGCACATGTAGCTTGACGAGCCTGGGAGCTTGACTCCACTTATGTCAAAGCTGTGCTAGACTGAACTATGCTTGTATTTTATTGCCTCTTCTAAGAAAATATTGAATGTATTGAGATATCTCTATATACTGTGTAAGATATACTAACATGAACCACTTTTCACTTGTTAACAGCTCTTTATCCTTCTAGGAAGGAAGTCACATTTCAGAGAATGCTAAGAAATGTTTGTTTCTTCTTTAAAATATATAATGAATGCAATTTTTCTACAATTATCTGGATCCATAAACAACTTTCATCCCATTTCAAAAGTTCTTCGTGCATTACTTCTGGAGCTGATTTTTCTAACTCTGCCCACACCGAACTGCGTGTAATGCCAGACGGAGCTTTACTGACTGGTGCTGCTCCGCGGGCTGTGTGGCTATGAACGAAGAAGATGCTAGAGCTGAGCTGCAGACACCTGAATGCAAACCCTCCGCTGTGAATGAACCCCCGCTTCTACAGATCGCTTTCTGCAAGGCGGCAGTGACGGATTTGGTGTGTATTTGCCGTGAGGTGTGAAACCCTGGCCCGTGGCAAAGCTCCAGCCGTGATTAACAGCTTGGCGGCTGTGTCCCTGGAATATGGCCCCGGCAGGCGGGTGTTGGTGTTTCCCTGCCCGGTCTGGGCTGCCAGCGCCCGCTCGGTCCCTGCACAGCTCCAGGGACGCTCCAGCCAGTCCCCGGGGCTTTGCTGCGTGACTCTGCATTGAAACAACGCCACATGGTGACATGCCCGAAACGCTTATGCTTCACACATTTTAAAATCTTGCAAACGCCCAACGCTGCTTCCAACAAAATCCTTTTTGCTTTAATGCTAAAGCAGCGCAGGAGGCTTTCCCCGGGACGCGGCGAGGCAGAGCGGCAGTGGACACTGTCCCTCGGGCACTGGGGTGTCCTGGCCACCCCGCCGGACACTGTGCCTTCCCCAGTCCGGTTCTGAAGGAGGAACCGGGCAGCGTGAGCCTGATTTTTACACAGAAAATCGGGTAACTATTACCTGGCTTCATCAAAGCATAATTTAGGCTCTTTTTGAAAGAGTCACCTGGCTCAAAAACCCGAAGAGTTATTCTTTTGATATGCAAAAGTGCAACAATTGATGGATTAGTTTTCCTACTCTGATTATAATATCAAGGGGAAAGCTGAATTGTGTGCAAGCCTTGGCTGTGCTGCTGCACCCTACAACGCCCAGGTACGGGACCAGACTGGGGGAGCCCCCGGGAAGACAGAGGCTGTTACCCACGGGTGAAAGGTGGGGGGGCTAAGCCAGGGAGGTCCGGGGCTGCGACCCCCCAGCCAGCCCCCGCTCCGCAGGCGAGGCTCTGACTGTAAACGGCATTCGAACGAACACAGGCGGCATGGAAACACAAGAGACGTGCTCAGGCATCGGCACCAACAGGGAACTCACCAGGACAAGAGGGAGGTGAGGTGATCCGGCGTGGTGGGGTCCGGGCTGATGGGGGGAGAGGTGACGAAGGCTGCAGCCTTGGCCCAGTTTTTACTCCAGTAGTGCGACCCGTCGGCGCCCAGGCTGGCGGTAATGGGCTCTCCGTACACAACCGTGCCTACGGAGCAATCAGTTAACGAGTGCAAGCGCGCTGCGGGTCCTGCAGCCTCTTTTCACACAGCGCGCACAAACACCGCGGTTAACGATAAAGGACGGTTTCACTTCTCTTCAGTGTTCTCACTATTTCAGCTCTTTCTTTGAATTCACGTTAATCCCTCAGATTATCTCAAACGACTGGGAAATGCTGTCAAAACAAGTTTTGAATCTGTCTGTTTTCTCCTTAGACCAAACAGACGTTCGTATCTACAAACCCTCACGCCTTCCTCTAAATCAAACCAGCGTCTCTCTGGCAGTCCCCTGGCTGGGGGCACAGGTGGCTGCGGACCCCTGCCTGTCCCTGGGCATGGCCCTCCGCCCTGCTCCCCACAGGACTGCTTCCAGCTCTTCCCACTCTACCCCCAGTTCGAATTTGGAGCTTGCTCCAGATCCGTTTTTCATTTAGTTCATGACAAACGATTGCAAGTGAATTATTTCCTTTTTGTCAGCTACGTCTACTGAGATTCAGGTGTCAAAAATTTCAAGCACATCTCCTCAAATCTTTCCAGCTCAGAGCAATTAGCTCTGGCACACTCTGCGAAGAAAAGCCAACACCAAGTTTTAGCACCCTTAAAAGGTGAGAGAAATTGGGTGGTAACAAATTCTTACACCTTGCAGCTAGAATGATATTCCTGGGCATATTTAAGTAGGCTCGATTAGTGTGCAAATACAAAACAACGCTTTACCTTTTCTCTTTGCTTGAGCTAACACGTCTGCTGCACCTCTGCTCATAATTTTGGTGATGTACAAGGGGCAGTTGGCTTGTTTAGCGATGGTAATTGCACGGTACACTGCCTCTGCTTCCACCTGCAGACACCAGACCACAGGCAGAAACCATCTCAGGGCACCTCTGCTACCGCCGCAGCGGCTGTTCTAAACCCCTGGGTGGTTCTGCTGAAGGGCTGGAGACGTTACCTCCTCGGGGCGGCTGAGGACATGTCCTTCTGGCCCGGTAATCCCGAGTTCCAGCAGCCTCTTTTGCTCCTAGGTGGACAAAGATGAACAAAAGAGCAGTCAGTGATAAGAACAGCCTGTCCGAAGCAATGCAGGACACAAAACACCGTGTTCAGAAGTACCTGAAGGCTGATGGAAATTCATGAGTACGACTAGGCGATACCATTTGTACCTGTGACACTCCACAAACCGCTGCAGCTGCTTCCTAGGAGACCCATCCAGTGCTGTGGAAACACGTCTGGACTGGGACCTGCTGCACCCCAACAGCACCTTTGGCCCTTCCCCAGTCTTCAAGCCCAGCTATAGTTCTGGAGCATGTAGGATTTTAAACCCATTGCTGCTTACGCTAAGGCTGTGCTAGCTGCGATGCATGGCTACAAGGAAGGAAGAGATGTGTAAAAGGAATGAGGCCTTCAGCCTTATTGTTTTAAGACTATTCATATTAGACATATAACTAATGATTAGAAATTGTTTTAGATATGATTAACAGAATGCAGGTGCTTATAAAACAATATGTATGAGCTGCTTAATTGTCCTGTATGTCTCCCCTCCATGGCTGGCTTAAAACCCAGTCAAGCTGAATCAACAGAGGAAGGATCATACATCTTAGACCTAAGACATGGGAGTAAGTGATTAACTTTAGAACAAGATAAATTAATAGAATAACCTGAGTGAATTTTTAGAAATTCAAAGATATCTTTGAAGTGTAAGAAGATAAGTGACTGTGGTGACCGAAGACCTTCTGCCTATGACCGCTAATTTCAGAAGAACCAAGACACAAAAATGGATGAGATAAGATGCTGAATGATAACGATATGAGAACAGAGATCGGCTGGAAAATTACAAAGACTTTGGACTGGGACAATGGGTGGTAAAAAGGTGTATAAGATTTGGAAACTTTTGGAAGTATGCCATTCACTGGGGTGGTGGCCCAACTCTGAGTTGTTAATAAAGCAAACCTAGAGAAACCCACGTCTGAAAATTCTTTAACAAGATGTTTCCCCCGGACGTGAGGCTCCCTGAAGCTGCTCCGAGGAGCCCACGGAGGAGGCAGAGATGGGTGCAAAGCATCAGAGAGACTGTCAGCGCGTCCCACCTCTCCAGAGCTTCGCCCGCCAAGTCCCACAGCCACGGCCACGTGCATTCCCCATCCCCGGTGCACTTCGCCATGCAGCAGTGGGGACGTGGCTCGGACGAGAGGCTGCTGCTGCTTGCCACCCCCCCAGTTCTGGGGGGATGCAGCAGTGGGGGGGCACGTTTTGCACAGCCACTGGCCCAGCGGCGTGCCCCAGCGCAGGGGCTGAAGCCGAGCAGCCCCACCTGGCTGCGCCCACGTCACGATGGGCACAAATCAAGTCCCCGCAGGGACCCCGTGCTAGTTGGGAACCCACAGTTACAGGAGCTGGGAGGAACTCTGGGCTGCACCCAGGTTCTTCACGTTGTATTTGAAAGCAGATGTCTAGCACATGCCTCACCCTGTTTCCTTTCTGTGATGTTTTGTATCATGTAATGCTCCCCTTTAGCTGGCATTAGATGCAAGGACATTATTCAACACTACAGACCAGATCTCACAGCCTTTAAAGGGTCCTGCTCTTAGAGGATGGTTATTTCTCTGTATTCCTATGGCAGGTATCCTCTGAGTTTGTCCCCAGGGCTCGAATGTCATCATGCTGGCAGCTTAAAGAAATACTTCTGAAGATATTGAACTGCCTGGGATCACATTATGTCTCACAGCCAGCGGAAGAAAAGGTTTCTCAGATAAAATCCCAGGGAGACAGGAATTAGCCTCCATCCTGTTTGTTCAAATAAGCCTGTTTGAAGGACTGGGATCCTGCTTTCATCCTAAACCCTCCTCCCACACCAGACTGAACACCTGCGTGACCATAAGCTAAAAGGAACTGCAAGTCTAATTCTACCTTGTGTCATCTGTTTGCAATATGTATCCAAGATTTTCTTTTCTAAAGGTATAAAGGAAAAATAATGGACATGAGCAAAGTCTGCAATACCAAGGAAGTTCCTGAGTGCCATTTGTGGAGATAAGTACTGCCAAGTGCTTATTATTAGTACATTATTTCAAAAGACGCAAACCTCCTTATTTTCTCAAGTGCTCAAGACTTCTAAACAAGATAGATAATGTGGTAAAGCATCACTTAAGGCAGTCAGTCATCCTGTAAGAAGCCCCAGAACGTACTTGTTGGGAACCTCTGAGCAGTCCTTGCAAAGATTTCTGTGATGAAACCCAGGTGCGTGTGAGTCACTGGGAGGATGCTGCCAACTTTAGCAGGAGCCCCTGACCCTCCTGCACGTCCCTCTGCCAGCACAGGGTCCCCGCTCAGCCCTTTCCCTCCGAGGCTCGGGTCATCAGCTTACACCGCAGACCAGGTGCCCTGGCGCGCGGCTGGAGCCGCAGGGGCAGGGTGCGGGAGCACCGATTCTGCATCCCCTGGCTGCTGCCAGGCTCGCTGCCCACACGCACGGACCGACCACGGCTGCTCTGCTGCAAGGCCACGAGCTCAACTCGGCTCGGCTTTCGCCGGAGATTGTGGAGGTGAGCGACTGAGGTGATGCTCTGCTGAAAGCAGGCACCGAAAAGTGCTCACCGGTCCTCTCCCCAGAGCAACCAGGTGTCACAGCAGGCTGCTCCTCCTTCCCTCGGCTGGACCGATCCCCACTGAATCCGCAGCACCAGCTGAAGGCTGAAAGTGTGCTGGCACTGCTCCACCTTCCACTAGACACTACGGCCCATCTGTTAAAGTCAGCACTTCACCTTAAATCAAAATACTCTGGACAACCTTTAATTTAAATGAATATAAACACCGTACCTCATCGATGATGTCTCCGTTTTCAGCATGCACTTGGGCAATGGCCCCCAGGTCTCGAATAATGCAGAATATTTCGTACATCTGCCAAGAGACAGTGGGTTGCCCGATATCAGATAAATCACAGCTTACACTCAGAGCATGGGTGATGGCTTTCACTGGACACTGTATTACCTGGGCATCGGTGCACTGAAGTTTGTCTTTGTAGGCCATAAAAACCAGGAAGGAATTCACACCTTGAGAAAAGAGAATGACATGTGTGTTTACTGGCCCAGCTGAGAACTTGGTGACCCGGTACAGGCTGAGCAGGGGGTGGTCGAACTGGGGGGGCTTTGTGCAGGCTGGGGTTGGACTGAGAGCAAAGCAAGGCTAAGGGCTGAAATGGTTAAAGTCCTCACAAGATCTGAACCCCAAAGCTTGGGAGCCATGACAGACAACACACCCCTATCTTTGGATGCACCCAAACCAAGAAAAAAACCCCTGTAGTCCATTTCTGATTTTAGGTACTTTCCGTAACTTGCTCCGAATGCACAGCATCAAATGCATTGCTCCCAAGCTGAGTTTTCCCTCCAGTGGTGGCTTCAATTTATGGTTTATCCCCAACTTTGTTCTGATAACTGTCTTCGAATTAGTGTATTAGTGCTAAGAGCGAATTACAGCAAAAGATGAGATTCTCTAACATTAGAGCACTGTTATTTAGTGCACTGCTATTTAGCTAGATAAATAGACGGGCAGTACTTTCCATACAGCACTGCATGCAATCCTAATTTCTACCATTTCTATCATCTAATATAAAGGATGGTTCTTGAAGCACTGAGTCAAAGCCGGAGAATTGCTACTGTATTTTATATGGATAGAGGCAAAAACTAATCCCAAACTATGATCAAATTACAAATAAACTGTATTTCATGTGAACGTATATATGAAAAACACCCGGTATAAGCTTGGAATAGCTACATTACTTCAGCCACTCCGCATTTTAATAGGAAATTCACTGCACATTTCTATGTTAATTGACCAATTAAGCCCTTGCTTGCAAGACTGCAAATTACATTGAAGTCATTTAGCTCTACATTACCATATCTGAAAGCAAAATGTAGTTCCAAACGTGGAAATAAGTATTAATGAAATGCATGAATTCCTGCCGCATGGCCTGCTTTCCAGTAAGCCATGTCCAGTGGATACTTCAGGATGTGCAGGAATTACAGGCACGAACAAAATCTCTACGGAAAGCTTAAAGCTTACTTTTATTCTATAAGCCCGGTCTTGAGCGTTTTTCTATTAACACTTCTCTGTACATCAGGCAGGCTGAATCAGGGTGCCCGATTACTGTTCCTTTAGTTTCCAAAATCAATTTTCAGGACCGGGCTGTACATTGCCCAAAGGTGAGAGCACACAAACCAGATGTTATGCTACGAACCCGGTGTCAATACCCCTGCCCACACCTTTCTCCTAGATGGCAAAGGACGGGCAGTTCACACCTGGATAGCGAGGGAGCGCGGTGGTCCCCTCCACGCAGCCCATCTATCGCCGGGTAAGAGGAGTACGGCGGAGCAGCAATAACCACCACGGCTACGACGACTTGCTGACGTGCCTGTACTGCAATAATTATGATGTGGGGGGTTTTGTGGGGTTATTGCCAGAACACCGCTCTTTCTGTCCTTACCCTTGTCCTTCACCAGGGCTTCCAGTTCCTCCTTCAGGCTTTCGTGCCAGCGAGGGACGTCGACGTGCAGCGAGTAGTCGCAGCAGGCCTGGCTGTCGGCACTCCCGCGCCACTGCTCGTAGGCAGCCATGAGGCTGGTCCCAGCGTCCGGGCAGACGTGGTCAACTGAGGAAACACTGCACAGCGTTAGCACGCCTGCCAGGGAAAGGGCTAGAGAAATACCTGGAGAGCGCAGCAGCCACTGGTATTCTTGTGCAAGACTTTACTGCTGCGAAAAGGAGACACTGTAACGCTAATTCATTTTTATAGCGTTGATTAAAGACAAAGGATAATAAATTTCCCAGATAAAGTGAAACAAATGCAACAAACGAACTGCACGCTATGGCTACTATCATCCCTTTTTTTTCCCACACAGCCTACCCAACACAGCATCTGAGAGAGGCCGGTGACCAAAGCACGTGCTTGCACACTTTTGCACGGCTCCCTCGGGCATTTTCCATGGGCAGTCACCCACAGCCCATCAGCCCTCTGCACTTCTCTTCTCTTTGTTCCTATTCCCTGCAGTACTGGCTATGAGACTGGTACAGAGCTACGCCAGGACTTGTTGAGACTGGTCCTTCAGTCACATATATTACAGTGGGCCTTGGGACCAGAACAAGAACAAAACAGAAATCAAAATTATTTTACATTAACACAAAAACAGCACCCATGCTCACAGAGCTGAAAAACTCTTACAAAAACACATTTGCAAAGCTATTAAAAATACATTAAAAGGTGTTTAAAGTTTTCTTCTATTTTATTCTCTTACAAGGCGAAGCAGGAGCGGAGCAGCTATGTATTTTTAATATATGTGTGTAGCAACGGAAGGAGGTTCTGAAAGGTACATAATGCGTTTTCATTAGCTTTGTAATGCTTTGATTTCTACAGCAAAAATGGAACATTTCTCTGCTATGAGGGCAAATAATCTCCGCCATGAAAAAAGGCCCAATGTATTTGGCTAAACAATGTTCTACTTAGAAGTCTGTTCGAGTACTGCTCCATCTTACTGATCATTGTGGTTCCTCCTGCCAGGGCTGCTTTTGTGCCTTGGTAGAAGTCATCAGCAGAGGTCATCCCCATGACGGGCATCTGCAGCCTGGTGTGGACGTCTATCCCGCCCGGCATCACGATCTGGCTGTAGGCGTCAATTGTCTTCACACCACCAGGAACAACCAGGTTTTCTCCAATTTGTCTGAAAATGATACGAAGATCTCCTGTTAACTGGCAACAACTTTTAAGTGAAGATGCAAACCCAACTTCTAAGTACTGCTGGTGGCACGCAGCCGTGCGCTGCCCAGGCCCCCTGGCACCCGGGGCTGGGTTCTACCCTGGGGAGGAGCACCTCCTGCTGGGCTGGGTGCCGGAGCGGAGCCGGGGTCCGCTCCCATCACGCCCGCCCAGCAGCACCCATCCCACCCGTCCCGGCTCCGGCACTCAGCAGCAGCATTTGGGACACGCCAGGCCATCGCCTGAGGGACCCGCTCAGACCAGAGGAGCTGCCGAGGTCGCAGTGCCGGAGTCCGTACGCTGCTTCTCAGGGACCTTCGCAGCGCTTGGCCTGGCTCCGCACTCGTCTCCTGCGCAACTTACAACAGAGCACGAGCTGTCAGCACTTTATATGTCTTTCCAGCTGCAAAAGTACACTAATGTAGATCTTTCTTGACACTATTCTAAAAAAAGGTCCTTGTGTTTCAAAAAGGGAACATATGTCCGAGAGAAAAATGACGGAAAGGAACCTTGTTCAAACTCCATGGCACTGTATCATGCTTGGAAATGACATTACCAAATATAAATTTTTAACTTACTTTATTAAACCGTCTTCCACATAAATGTCTGCATAAAATGACTGATCATCGTTGACAATTTTTCCTCCTTTGATTAGAAGCCGGTCACTCTAATGGAAAAAAACCCACACTTTTTAAAAGATTACTTTATTTATTCATTCTGAGCTTTCATTAAGTCAAGGACTTAATATTTTGCCCTTCAACCATACAAGTTTAGTGACTGTCCAAACTATTCCACACCAAACCCAACAGTACTTTGCGAAGGAAACCCTACAAAATTTGAGAGGAACACAGAACTCCTAGGAAGCGCGGCACGAGCCTGGGGTGTACAGGCGGCACAGCTGGGCCCAACAGCTCTGGGTACCAGAACATCCCCATTTCAGGGGTCTGAGCCGCGTGTTGCTGAGCGGAGCCGGGCAAAGGGAGCGTGCTCCAGCTCCCGCGGCTCCTGACCTGCCTTGCAGGAAGCACACCACCCCCCCGAGGGCCCACCAAGAGCTCCTTCAGAGCAGGTTCAGCGACTGACTGAAGTTCTCAGCAGTTTTAGAAGGTTTGCAAGGTGACATCCTGCAGCTCGGCCATGTACCTGCCTCCTCCATCAGCTCCGGTTACGGAGACCTTTAAGTGCATCTTATTAACCTGGTAATTTATTGACATTGGTTAGTTTTCACAGTCTTGTCGGAGGCAGATAATGCCTCAAGGACTTCCCTCACTTCAAAGCAAGACACTGGTAGAGTTGTCAGATTTGTAGAATCTTTAACTAGAAAAATTAGACAGCAGTGGCGTTTATGTAAATGTGGAACTGCAGCCTAATTTAAGAGGATTCCTTTCCTGCTCTCTGGTGTTGCTAGAAAAATTATTACCAAGGCTAAAACGGGCAACGCAAGGAGCGTGGCCTTAGCACAAAGACAACTGAGGGACCCAAGAGCACGTGGAGACAGCTTACAACACGGCAATGCCTGCTGATGCTAAACAGCGGGGAAAACGTTTTGGGGTCTTGCATTAAAGAGCACCACTGGCATACAGAAAAAAGTACTGAAGAATTGCATTGTGTTTTTAAAAGTGTCGAGGCTTTTACTGCATCTCTATTGTTTTCCCTCGTCCCATAAAATCAATCGAAAGAAGCCTCCGTGCTGGCTGCCCCACGGGAGATCCCTACGGCCCCTCCCCTTGCGGGGCCCACCCCCACCCCAT